TCGTTCTTTTTTTAACTAAGTATTAATATGACAAAAAACAAAACAACAACTATTCTTACAAATGAATGCTCCATAACTTTTTCATGGATAAAAAATATTTGAATTTTTACGTCGCAAATAACTTGCAATGAAATTGTTATAAAAAAATCTACGAGAACTTTTTCTACTCTTGAAGAATTTGTTATTATTACATATATGTTGTTTTTTTTCAAAATAAACTTAATCATCCTGTCGATAATACGTCATAGAAAAATGTTTCAATAAACATAGGACATATTGACATATTTAAATGACGTTGATAAATTATTTGACAAATTAATATTAATGAATGTCATGATATATTATTTTAAAATCGACATGTAAAGAAAATTTTTCTCATGAATCATATTAATATCATAATGAAAGATACAAATGATGTGTCTCAATAAAGATCATAAGATTATATTTATAATAATAAGCACTAGACAATAATGAACATAAATTATGTCTCATTAAATTTATCATTATGATTTTAAATTAAACCAATGTCATCAAAAATAATTTTTGGTATTTTCAAGCTTATTCATATACTAATTATCAAGTCGACAAAAAAAAAACGCGCGCATACTACAAGCATAAATTAATGAGAACAAGGTTTTATTTTTATTTTTACAATATAATAATCAGCCTAGGAATACAGTTCGGCAATGATTGTTCATAGTTTAGCCTGATTTGAAGAGTAAAATAGCAACTTGACCCAAATAAAAATAAATAAAATGTTTGGTTTCATGTGTTACATATGAACCAAAATTACGACCAACAATACTAAAAATAAAAAGAATATTTTATTTTATTTTATAAAAAGAAAAAAAAATTTTAAATTTACCAATGCCACGTTGGATTATATTTTTTATCAAATTCTTTTTTTATATAAGCAGCAATATCTTTTTCAATATTATATTTTTCAAGTGCTTGTGTTGCAATATCAACTAGATAAATATATATATATATATATATATGTATAATAATAAAATTAAATGATTAAAATAACTAACCAGCATCTTGTTGCATGTCTTCCGACATATCAGCATTTTTAATAACAGCTTTACGATCAGTCATGATGTTTGTTTTTGAGAATTCGAATTTCTATTAACAATAAAAAATAAAAAAAGGAAAGATGATGATGATCAATAAAATATATACAGTATATTTTAACTTACGTTAAATAACGAAGACGATGGCGAGTAAAGTACGAATGAATAATTGCGCTATTTATATAAGATATAGTAAGAAAGAGAGAAAGAGAAAGAGAGAGAGAGAGAGAGAAACCCTATATCTTATTGTACGATCAAACACGAGAGAAAACAATAGACGAGCAACCTTTCAGATAGCAATCAATGGCATAGGGTAAAGTAAGCTAAGCGTGTGTATTCTATTGAAAGAATCAATGGTTGCTAAGTAATGTGATGTTCTTGCTATAGGGAAGCGCGAACAAAGCTAACAGTCATATTTACAAGATGGCAGTATGCTGAAAAAAAAGGTTATGTTTGATGAAAATAAAAAAATGAAAAAATGTGACTGTAGAATGTTTTGAGTTTAAAGAAGTATGTGCTAATATATATCAAATATCTAAAAAATGATTCATCTTTATCAAAGAAATTTTACTTAATTCGTTCAAATTTTTAGGTATAAGATTTTAAAATATTTTTGTTTTTTTTGTTATATTTTAAAGTTATGTTGTTCGATTCATTTAACTACGTCTATATCTGTGTTAAAAATAATCAAATGCTTAAAGTATTATATTCTCATAGAAAGACAAAAATAAGCTTTAATATTGAGTAAAGAAGAAATTTTTTTTTTTGAAGGCAAGAAATTCATTTTATGATAAAAGTAAAATTATTAAATACTGCAAAATTTAGTTATTATATTCTTACCTAAAAATTCTGTTAGTTTTGTTTATTCTATATTCGATTTTAGTTATTGATACACTAATTTAGATACAACGAGTTTATGGATATTGTATACGAATTCCAAATGTTGAAATATATTTACATATTCATCAATAAATGTTAATAGTCTCTAATAACTTAATAAACAAAATCTTCGTAGTGGAAGTATGATAAGAGGAAAATAAGTGATTGCAAAACAACGAACACTTACCTATATTTTTAGATCTTAGTCTTCACCAATTTTTTTTT